TAATAGAAGATTCTTTTGAAATACTATTTTGTAAAAATGCCACAATGAGTTTTCCATTTTTAAAAATATCATAAATTTTGAAATTAAAATTCTTTAACTTTAAAAAATGTTTTGACCTTGACAAACCATAAACCAAAAAAACTAAACCCTAATATAAATGATATTTTGAGTCAATAAAGTATACTATTAGTGGCATTTCTAAATTTTTGTTTTTTAAATGATGACATTTTTTCAAAAATGGCATCTCAAAAATGCATTTCTCAAAAATTATCCGTGGAAAATCCCGCCAATGTTATGTTCCAGAAAGAAACCCTCATTTTAAACCTGCCAATATATTCTTCTGAAGTATTGGAGAGAAAAAAAACAGATCATGTTGAAAAAAAAATGGCGTTGGATGTTCTTTGATATTGCATCATGTCAAGACTATTAACAAGTGGCGTGTCTCCTCAAGTGAGAGTCTCAATACGAAGGCAACTTGCCGGAAGAAATCAGAGTTTAGAGTTAGAGATCTTATTTGGTGCAAATAGGTGCATCGTCAAGCTCCATGTCCGTTGTTACAATTCCTAATTTCTTTGGTCGGAATAAATGCTATTTGATTGTCGTTATTTATTATATAGGTTTCGATCTGGAGTAACTTGTGTGTTGTACACATGAAAGATTCACGTTGATGATGATACTCGTTTCCATGATGAGGATGATGAGCTTAGTTACCAAAACTCAGTATATGACAACCTTTCTGCTTCTGGAAACTTTGGTGGTGTACGGATGAGAAAGAGAAAAAAGAGTTAGTGATTGATCTCATGTTGTATTGATATTGATGTGGATCTCTTCGTGAGGTTAGGAAAATCCAGTTTGGTAAAAAAAAAGGCTTTCTAGCGATTGTGGTACATATTATTTTTATGAATAACATATTAATTTAACAAAACGAACTTATAATATCGTTTTACATCTCTTTGTTGTTTACAACAACGACAATTTTATTTTAACTAGAGCTAAATTTCTCTAAAACAAGAGTATGGAAAAATTATGGATTTCAAATTCACAACTCTTTTACTTTCTTTTCTAACTACCGAAGACTCATTACAGAAACAAAAAACCAACTATATTGATTGAAATAATATATGAACCTCATATCATGTTCACAACTCTTTGATTTGATATCTAAAAAATGTGAATTACATAGAATTTTGTTAAGTTTATTTTTTTAAATTCTTTTATCAAGAACTTTGTTGATAAGAAAGTGAATAATTTCTAAAAGGTTTAAAAATAAAATTATTGTATACATATGTATGTAACACATAATCACTCATTACTTTTACTGGACATGAAATATATAATTTGATAAATCTTCAAAATAATATTACAAATATAAAACTATGTATTGAAAATCCAACATGATATGAATGATAAAAGGCATGCAAAATATATAATGCATCTTACAGTTTTTTAGGTAATAAATTAAGATTCATAATTTAGGGTCAATATATGAGTTTTTTTATTTAGTCAGTTCCAAATTTTAGGCGCGTTAGTTATTTCATTTAATTAGTTATTTTGGCGTGTTTGTTTAGTTAAATTTAAATTTTGCGCGTTAGTTATTGAAGTATTAAAATTTGAATTTTAAGAAATAAGTATAGATTTGTTTCCATAAACTATATGATGCATTTTCAATGTCATATCATTCTTATCATGTTGGATTTGAACACATGTTCGTTAATTTATAATTTCTTTCNA